CAGAACGACCCATGTCCCAGGGTTTGGGGTTCATTAGTATAGCACAGGCCAAATGAGGAGAGGCAGAAACAGGTCACCTGATTTCCTGGATACAGGAGAATATGACCAGGCAAAGCAAGGAGGTGGCTTGGCAGGGGCAGCTCAACAACATTCTGAAAACAGGCGAGAATCAGGAAAGTAGAGCAAGATGGGCAGGCATACAGAAATCAGAGCGAGGGAGTCTGGAAGCAGACCGTACACGTATGGAGGTTCCAGTGTGTAGACTAGACTCTCTTTTTTTCCTATTTTTCTCCTCTCACCTTTCACCCAGAGGGAGAATGCTAAGGACAGAGTGGAACATGGTCTAGAGGACTTCACTGAGAGTGTCCTCAGAGTTGGGCTGCAATCCTGAGGGGTGGGCCTCAGGGTTGGGACTCCAGTCCTACGGGTAACCTAGCATGAAAAGGTCAAGGCCCAGATACAGATCAGAGAACAGATGTCCAGCGGTCTTGAATTGGCTATCTGAATATGGCAGGAGTCTAGTCACCAGACCTGTGATACAAGAGCAGACAGAGAATTTGAAGCAAGTCTGATTTGTTTCTCTGATCAATTGAGCAAGCAAATTAGATCTGTTTCTTATTTACCTGGCCTAGCATGTTCCAGTTAACAGGTGATCAAAAAATGTTTTCTGAATGAAAGAATGAATTAAGTAATTAAGGAAAAAATAAAATCCACTGAATAGCGAGCAATACGCTTGGTTTCACAGCCTAGGGTTAGAATGGGTGAGTGGAGTAAGTCAGTTTCCCAAGACCTGTTCACCCTGCAGATGAATGATAAATCAAGTTTGGGAAGCTACAAAAGCAAGGAAGAACTAGGTCACTCTGGCAAAGTGCCTAAAACAGCCTTTCAACTTCACCCCTCACCAAGAGTCACAAAACCACTCCCAACAGCAGCAGGCAAGTCTCCAGTCACCACTGCTCTTCTACTGTCAGACAACGTTCTCTTTCCATCTGCCAGAAAGCTGTGTGGAAGGAAAAAAATAATAATCCCATCCCTTCAGTGCTAACACATTGTAATAAGTTTTATCACACACTTGTGAAGGAAGAAAACTGACATTTACTGTTCATCTACTCTGTGCCTAGATCTGTGCAATGCACTTTATGCTTGAATTCATTTAATCCTCAAGAACCACTTCATTTCACAGATAAGGAAATGGAGGCTCTGAGAGTTGAAGCATCTTGTCCAACACAACGCATGTGACAGTGCAGGAACCAAACTTAGCTCTAACTCTAAAATCTGTGTTCTTGCCACCATCCCAGCACGCCCTTGAGTTGCCTTTCACCTTTCACCCAAGATAAGGATTCCTCTGGCATAAGTTCTCCCTTCTCCTCTGAAACAATCCCCAGTTCAAGTCTCTGCCACTGACAATTCACTCCCGCTTCCCTGCCACTGTCCCTTCTTCGAACACAATCTTTTACCCAATCTAACGCCCCTTCAAGTCTCATAGAAAAACAACAGCGCAGTAGACTGGGTTTCAGAAGCACTTTCTGATACACTATTTCATCTGTCCTTCACGGCACCATGGAGCCGGCAAAGCACGTTTAAAAAAAAAAAAAGCATCCCCATTTTACAAGAAAGACATCTCCCCAAGGTCAATGAATAAAAAGCAGGGGAAGTCGGGAACAGAGCCCCAGGTTTTGACCCTGATCCTCGGCTCTTCGCACTGCGGCCCCCGCCCCAGTGATGTCAGGAAGTGCCCCTTCGGCTCGAACCCCGGCCTGTAGCGCACACGTCCCTTCCACGCCCACTCACCGCAGCGCCCCCGCCTGTCCTTCCACATGCCCCCCTCTCCCACGACTCCCTCTTTTCGCCAGCCCCCTCCGCCCAAGGGCTTCCTCACTCCTCCAGCCCCCTCCGCTCATAAGCCCCCTCGCGTCACAGGTGGTTAATGATCTCCTCCTCGGCCTCCCGCAGACCCTCGCCCCGCCTCTCCGCTTTGACGCCCCAGTCCCCCAAAACTGTCAGCCCGCGGCCAGGCCGGCCCAGGATACCTTCTCCAAGGATGCCGGTCTCTGCACGGCTAGGGAGCGGGCCAGCGACAGGACGGTGTTGAAATAAAAACCCCGCGAGGCGCTGGAGCCGGAGCCGGAGCCGCTGCCGGAGCCGCCGCTTCCCCGGGAGGCGACCGCCGCCATCATTGAGCGCGCAGCGGCGCTACCCCCGGGTTTCCAGCACCCGGCCAGCGAGTACCGGAGCTCACCGCGCAGGCGCGGCCGCATCCGGCTTCCCCGCCACGTGACCTCTGTGTCACGGAAACTGGGCGGGGCGGGGCCGCGGGGCAGTCCCACCACTGGAGGAGGGAGAGAAGCTGTGCGTTTGGACGCGGCCGCGCGCGCCGGGCATGGTCCCCCCCCCCAAGCCGTTGGGCACGATGGTCGGCTCCGGAGGCGGGGTCGCCAGGTCACGACGGGCGGAAGAAGCTAGCGCTACGGCCGCAGGGTTTACTGGCGGAACGCTGCGTCGGACGGAGGTCGGCTGTGCTGGGGAGCAGAGTGGTGGGCGCTTCGGCAAGGCCTCCTGGACCCCTGTGGCCCGTGAAAGGCCGTTCCTTGTCTCGCCTGCGCACCTCCTGCTCTTTCCCAGACCGAACCGAGCGCCGGCAACATGTCGGCCTACCCCAAAAGTTACAATCCGTTCGACGACGACGCGGAAGATGAGAGGGCCCCGCCAATCCCGTGGAAGGACGCCCGCGACATCCTCGACGGGTCGGGCGCGCCCGCGGACAGGCAGCGGTACCTGCAGCAGGAGGTGATGCGCAGGGCCGAGGCCGCGACCGCCAGCACCAACAGGTCTTTGTCCCTCATGTATGAGTCCGAAAAGATTGGGGTCGCCTCTTCCGAGGTGAGTCTGAAACCTGGCTGGGCTGGACCTGCATCGTCACACGGAGTCAAAAAATGTTTGTTCACGATCTTTGGGGAATTCTCAAATTGCCTAGAATAGGTTCTTGTGCTTTAGTGACTTGATGATTTGTAATAATTTGTTAACTATGTAAAAGAGACGTGCCTCTTGAGTACTTGAGAGGCAGTTTGCCCCCAGAGAACCTTCCTTTCCTAGTTTTTTTTTTTCTACCCCTAGTTCAAAGGTACACTCCATACTGTACCGTCCAGGTAGGTAAAAATTCTGAACAGCCAAGCACAGGTTAGGGAAATGGAGGCTCTGTTTCCTTTACATAATTTCCTCATCGGAAGCGTGGCCCCAGGGCTTCAGCCATTCTTCCTTGAGTGGTCCAGAATGAATGAGGACTGTGTAGGTGCTGGTGTCCGACTCATCAGAGCAAATGGGCCTTGAGTTGTTTCCCATCACTGACCACTTCTCCACTTTGCACTAGAGATGTTGAGGTCTTGTCTTCCGGGATCTTGCTGAGTAAGCCATAGCCCGAGTTTGGTCAAGTATAGGGTCTTAGGTCTCAAATCCTAAAAAAGATCTAAATAGACTGTGGTTGGGTCAGTCCATTGCTCCAGTTCACCTTTGTCAGTTCTTTCCATCCATAGAAGTTTTCAGAGTAGGACCTTAAGTGAGGGATTATTCTTTCTTAGGCACTACATTCTGTCCTCAGACGACTAATGAAATGATTTTGTGTGGCATTTGTTTTTCAAGTTTTAAAAACTGTAATAGTAGGTTATTGATATATCAGCTAAGAATAATTAATCTTAAGTATATGTAGCTTTAAAATGTAATGTTGGAAGCTAAAGTGTTGTCTTTCCTCCATGAGTATCCTTGTAATTCGTTTCTCTGACAAAGTTCATTCTGACCTAATCACTTATGGTCTTGGACAGTTTTGAGGTATATTGATTAATTTCTCAAATAATCATCTCCATTGTTTCCCCATTGCCCCTTTCTTGGGTGATTTCCCTTCCCTATTTCTCCCTGTTACGGTATCCCTCATGGCTCCACCTCCCCATCTTTAGCCTTGTTGAAGTTTAGCTTGTAGTTCTTACATGTCAGATCTACTGGATTCCAATGTTCAAGTCTAAATGGAAAGTGTTGACTTACTTTAGGGAGGATTACCTGAGGTCCTAGGGCCCTGGTGGAGGGGCCCCTTCAGTATCCCAGGCCCAAGGAAGCCAACTGAGAGCTGTTTGAAGAGATATCTTTGGAAACAATGAGAACAAATAAAGTAAGAAATCAGAATGATACAAAGTCAGGTGTAGTGGCAGAGGATAAACTTGAATCAGGTTTTTAAGGCTAAGTTTAGACAAGAGGAGCAAGGAGGAGGAGGAGGAGGGATGTAAATGCGCTGGCCCAGCACCGGAGCTCCTGGGCTCCTGAGCAGGGAAGAGATGCACAGGATGTGACTGGGTAAGGACCTGGAGGAGGCAGTTTAGGAGCCTTTCACAGCCAGAGGGAAGGTCTGTTCTCATAACTCAATAAATAAATAAGTAAGTAAATAGAGAGAGAGAGAGAGCCAAAAACATAGTAGATATGAGTTGTTTCTTACAGACTGTGTTGAAATATCCCATGCTGCCTCCCAGAGGTCCTTCTCTATGTAGTGGGGACTGTGCGAGCAACTCAGGCCTGTGATGCTTGGCCATGGGCCAAGCTGGCATTGCTGTGAGTGGTACATTATGATCATGACTGGGCAGGTGACAGGTTCTCTCATTAGCATGATTACATGTTGAATTTTTCCAGGGTTGAATCAGTTTTCAATTATTGGAGGCAAGAATGGTCAGCACCTCTGCCCTACTCTACCCCATACTTTCCAAACTGTCTTGGAATCACGTTATCACTCTTTCATTCCCCTCAGAGTGGCGATGGGGTGGTGGGACACTCAGTGCACAGGGTGGCTCCCAGCGGAACTGAGTCAGTTGCTCACCTCCCAACTTAGATTGCTGCCTTCCAGGTACCCAGCACAATGAAACATGCCAAAACATGACAGGTTTTTATAGAGGACAGGAGTTTACAAATAATATTGGGTTGGGAAGGTCATAATTCAGTCCCAACTTGGCAAAAGGAAGAACATTACTTAGTCAAGTCACCCCTAGCAAAGGAAAACTGCCCTTCTGAGAAACCTGGCAAGATTAGTTTCTCACAAAGACTAGCCATAGGTCATGACCGCCAAAGGACAGAGGAGAAGTAGACAGGGCAGAGCAGGTGGCACCTGGCTGGCCTGGTAAGCACAATCCAGGACCATAGAGAGACTTATGGGCCACTCAGCTCTTCTTTTTCACAAGTGTGACTTATTTCTTCTTTTTTTAAGGTTTAATTTTTGTGAAGCTCTAATCTAGTCACAAGGTTCAAAATTCAAAACATACAGAAGGCTATGAAGTCTCCCCCACCCTCTGCCTCACAGCAGCCACTTACCGTCAGTTCCTTCAGTGTTACTGTAGGGATGGTCTGTGTATAAAGGCATACTTATAGTCTTTTTCCTTTTATTTATTTATTTTTTTTATTTTTAACTTAAGCAGAAACATTCTATACATTCAAATCTGCACATTGCTTAATAGGATTGAAGTTATTCCATAGTAACATACAATGCGTTGCTGTTTTTTTTCTTTTTTTTGGCTATGCCATATTCCATTGAATGATGGTTTCTGTTTATGTAGCGAGTCCCCTAATGGTGGGCATTTGAATCATTTGCACCTTTGGGTGAGGCTGTTTGCGTCCTGCTTGGACACAGTCTTTGTACACCCTTTCACCACCCTGGCCAAGGAGACTTGCTTATCCAGGGCATGTCTCATCTCCTGTGGCACGGAGCTAAGCATGCTCCAGTGAAGTTTTGTGGGGCCTAAGATCTCAGTTCAGGGGAGACAACAACAGATGTTAGACTGGGGCCTGAACAGCTGGCATCATAACATCAGTGGAAAGGGAGTGGTCTTCAATAGGATTCAAACGTGATGCACTCAGCAGCCGCACTCACCTTCTTAGTGTCTTCCTAGCGCTCAGCAGTCACCAAAGCCACATGGGCATTTAGTTCAGAGAGGTGGATGAGAGGACAACACCCTGCTAGCTCAGGAGCAGAGGCCATCACAGGTGTCTCCATAACTTAGGGTGATGACCCCATTCTCTGGGAAACTGGTCTTGGAACAGAACCTTCCCCATTTCAAATGAGGAGAACTACTGACCAGAGCCTCCCCTCCAAGGCAGCCTATGGTGGTTCTGATGTGGCCAGAGTTCATAGCACGAGCTTGTCCTGATACAAAAGCTGATGGAGGGGGAAGGCATTTGCTAGGTAAAGTAACTCCCCAGTAGATTTCTAAATGTCAGCGATGGAGGAAGAGCAGTCTCTTGCTCAACATTCTACCCTGCACTTCTCAGCACAGTGTCCTTTATGTAATTAGGTGCTCCCCAAATAGTTACCAGGTGAATAAGTGATCTGGAGAAGGGAAGGAAAAAGCGGAAGAGGGAGAAGAGGATTGATTAGACATGGAGGAGAGATTGAGGAGGGAAGACTGAATTGAGCAGGGAAGACTGAATTGAGCTATGTGATTCTGGATGAAATCCCCCTCCTGATGACCGGAAAATGCCTCCTTAGGCATTTCAGGCCATTTCTACCATGTGTAAGTGACTCTGATAGAGAAATGTCATTGGACCACATTTTCACCAATAGTTTTGTTCTGGATTTATTTTTTTATTTTTTGTAAACTATCAATGATTGAATTTGATTGTTGGAAAGTTCTGGAATCCCAAGCAGACTTGCTGTCCCTTTAGCTGTAACAAAACACCTTATGAGGATGAGTTGTTACTGTTCAGGTAGGTCAGACATCCCACACCAGAGTTGTGGCATCTGGCCATATGTGCTGCTCCTTCCTGGAATGTACACTAATGGCTGCCATGTTGTCCTGAGGGACCTTGCTTTGCTGACCAGGTAATATGTGATTGGAAGCTGAGGGGCTATCTGCTCTCCAGCCTTCTGCCTTTGAGTTAGTGGTTCTGAGAGTGGGAAGTGCTGTTGGAGGTATTGTTTGAGGATTCCCAAGACCAGTGATTCCTTAGGACTCATAGAACTCAAAACTGGTATACTCGCAGTTATGGTTTCTTACAGTGAAAGGATATGGATTAAAATCCTCAAAGGAAAAAAGCTCAGGGCCGGCTGAGTGGTGCATTGGTTAAGAGCTGGCTTGGGATGCCAGCTCTGAGCAGCAGGGCCCTGGTTCGGATCCCACATGAGGCCCAGTGACACTGCCCTCTACAGCTAAGATGGTGAACAACAGTTCAACCTGTAGCTTGGCTGCTGTGAGTCACCGGCGATGGCATGGGCTGCAGCCCCTGCTGCAGTGGGCTGCCATAAGCTACCATGTGTGGCTGGCAGCCAGCATGAGCGGCCAGCAGCCGGCGTGAGCTGCGAAGAGCTGCCGTGAGCGGCCGTCCAGAGGCCGGCGACCGATCTGCCTCACCCGGGAAGAGCACAATGATCACAATAACAACGTGCGCCAATGAAGCAACGTCCTCCACAACTAGACTGAAGAACAAAAGGACAGCAACTTGTCTGTTCCCCTTTCCCCCGATTCCCCAGCACTGTTCCCCTCCCCCAATTCCCCAATAAAATCTTTAAAAAAGAAAAAAGCTCATAGGGCAGAGTCCCGGAGAGACTAGGTATAAGCTTCTAGTCCTCTCCCAATGGAGTTGTGTGGACAACACATACTTCTCCCAGCAATGATGTACAACAACACGCATACAGTATTGCCAGCCAAAGAAGCTCACTCAAGCCTGGGGGTCCAGAGATTTTACTGGGGGTCAGCCGTGCCTACATCGCTATCTGGATGCCCACCTGGCTGACCTTAGTCTCCAACCCCTCCAGAAGTCAAGAGCGTGGCCCAATGCCCCCATCATAAATAACATATTAGCATAAACTATCTCGCCTGGCCTAAGGACTCGGGTAAACAAAGACATTTTTATCAGGGTAGTTCAAGGGCAAGGAGCCAGACAAGGCCTTTCTTTGGAATGTGCAGGATGTGGACAACCCAGGCCTGCTGAGTTAGCCCTTCACTGGACTCCAGGTCAGCCTGCACACACACAGTCAGGGGCACCAGCATTACCACCTTTGCCCTTGGTATTTGTTTGTGCAACCTAAGACACGGTTTGCATCTTTGAATCACTCCATGCTACTGCTATGAGACATGCTCTGAGACTCACATGTCTCTGCAGTGAGACAGCCAGTTTGCGCATGCTCCACACATGCCCATGCGTCCTGCCAGTGCGTGTTCCGTTGGAAGAGGGGCTACATAATAAAGATACAGTTCAAGTTTCTAGGTGCAGCTTTTTTACTCCAAATTGACTTCTGCCTACTTACCATTTGATACCCGAGTTTAATTACAAGCTCAATGTGAGAAACTTAGTACTGACACCTTTCCCTAAGGAACTCGGGGCATGGCTCAGTCAGGGAAGACTCTGAGACCTGTCTGACGTGATGCCTTGGCTGTGAATTGAGGTTCGGGTCTGGTGGTCACTGCTGCCCTTTGAAGGCCAGAGCTCCACCCCCTTGGTGATCCCCTCTGGGTCCTACCAGCCCTCCCCGCCCGTTCCCCTTCATGCTCACTGCATACAGTTCCTCTTCCTCTCTCAGTTCCCCTAGCTGGCGCTGCCGTCCCAGGTGCTGCACTGGCTGCTCCCACTGCATGAATGCTCTTGCCTTACCCTGACCTTTTGACTCCCTAACTACCCAGCTTTCAATTTCTCACTCCATTGGTGAGCCTTTATGACCCCCCTCCTTAAACCAGGCCAGGAATCCTTGCAAGAGGTTTAACCCTGGCAGAGCTTTGATCGTGTGTGTGTGTGAGATAGCTTTCTTTTCTACCTCTCCTGACACTGTAAGCTCGGTGAAGCAAGGATCCAGCTGCCTTTCTCAGATTCCCAGCACTGCAGTTTTGTCAACAAATGAAAAAGCGGATTGAACTCCCTTCATCTGCTAGAACTGCCCTCTGCTAGACTGTTCCATCATGGCAGAGATTTGGGGTTGTTTAGTTCACCCCTGAATCCCACATACCTGGAACGGTGCCCGGCAGAGAGTGGGTACTCTCTATACCTATTGGCAGGTATCTTGTGGAACCTCTGTCGTTGTGTGTTTTCAGAGAGCACTCTGCCAGCCATAATTCCCTAATGTCTTCATGTTCTCACAGGGCACTTGAACATACTCCATCTGGTGGGTGTCACCTCACATCGGGCAGTGTACACCCTCATAGGGTCTTCACATTTTTCTACTTCCCTTTGTTCTATCAGAAATCCCTATGCTTGACAAAAAGCCACAAGCCAAAGAGGAATTGAGACCCTCCCTCTCTGTGTTGTCCCTCAGCACTGTACCACCAGCCAGCCATATTTTTTTCTTTGACTAGTCTTTTCTAGTTTAACTTTAAAAAATTCCTCTTGAGTCAAGGGAGAGGGGGAACGACCTGTAATGCTAACACCTGAGCCAAGCACGTTGCAAGTTTGCCCTTTCCACTGAGGGCACTTTGCAGAGCTCACAGCCACCCTGATCTCTTCTGCGATGACCCATTCTCACAGGAACCAATGGAGAAGAAGTGATATGGCCCTTCTTCTGGGGAACGGGAGCATGCCTTGGGACCGGGAGTGTTTGAGGCCTACCTTTGTAATGGCTGCGGTACAGGGCCTGCCTGGCCTATCCTTTCTGTCCTGGCACTCCCAGTGTTTCCTCTGCCAAGCCCTTCTTCCTTGTTGGTTAGAACTAGGTCACAGGCACATGGAGTCCAGTCCTTTCCTCTGCTGCTGGGCGAGGATTTTAGCAGAAGTTCCTCCTCTGCTGGCCTCCTGACTAGCAGATCACTTCTGGTAAACACCAGCTTCCAGCTCATAGAAACTTCCAGACATCAGAGCAGCACTCAAGTCCTGGCCTTCCAGCGTCACAGCAGGGCAAGCCACCCCCATCTAACATCTAAATCAGACATTTGGTTTCCTTACCAAGTCAGCACAGTGACGCAGACTCTGGGAGTTTGAGAGACTGTGTTACTTGTGAACAGAAATAAAATCTCACTGTGAATTGAGGAAGGTTTTGTCAGCTACTTGTTACTGCTGTGATTCTCCAAACTGAGGTGGAGAGACTGAAGTGGGAGAGCAAGTGGTTCATGCGACAAGCCAAGCCATGATGGGAGAGCTTGCTGTCCAGGAAGCCAAGGACCTGCCTCCTTCTGGACACCTGAGCCCTGGCCACCATCTCCACCCCTGGCTGCCTTAAGCGCCTCTCCAGCTTCAAATTCTTCTGTTTTATGCAGTGTGTGAAATAAGCTGGGTGGGACTGGACTGTTAGAGATGTATCGACTCAAACGTGTGAATGCTGGAGAAAATCATTTTAATTCTAATTTGTAGTTCTCCCTTATTCCAGAAAAGACTTACCTCAGAACGGACATGAAGATGACAAACTTGAAGTGTTAGAAGAAGTAGAAACTCCAGATAAATTAGCAGATTTTTTTCTCTCTGAGAATTAACCCTTGCAAGATTTGCCTGACAAACTGAAGAAAGGCCAGAAAACATTTTCTTCTTACTTGAAAAAGCCTGATGGTTTCTTCAGACATGTCTCATGAACTGCCGAAAAACATTTAAATGTTCAAAGCTGTAAAGCTCAGCAGTTCTAAGTTTTTTTCCAACAAGAGTTAAACAAAATTTAATAGTAAATTCAACCAGTGTTTTAGTTTTTTTGTCTATGCATTATGTTTTTAAATTTCATCCACTAAACATTTAAGACCTCAAGTTATACAGTTGGGCCCCTAAATGTCCTAAAAGCCTTGCCTTAACATCTTTACATATGAAATGGGCTCTTAAGCCCATTGTAGTTTCATTTTTATCCTTCAAATTTCCAGGGTGTTTGTTTAAATTGTTCACGACTTTGTTTTTAGGTATCAGGAGAGAATAAAGATTATTTGCACAGTTAATAAAATTGCTGAGCCACAGGGAGATGCAAGAGTAGAAGATTGAGCGGAATGCAGCTGAGGGCAGGGGCTGCGTCGTGAGGTAGAAGAAGAAAAGCTTGAGAGGTTTGGGATCTTCTGGCTGGAAAGGCAGATCACAAGGGGGAGGGTACATGGCTGGAATGGCCTGAAATTGGGACTTAAGCAAATTTGGCACAAATAAAGTGTTAGTGTTGCTTTGGTGGTGAGTTCACATCCACAGCCAGAAACATCAGTTCTTGGGGAATAAGGTCCAGGCTGTCCCCATGGCCACAGAGCATCATTCATGTACTCATTTGGCAAATTTGCAGTGAGCAGCTGCTCCGAGTGAGGTACTCGAGACACAGCAGTGAGCAAAGCATGTTCCTGCCTCTTGGCGCTTATGTGCTATAAAGAAAACTAAACTAAACTGGAGCAGGTTGAGGGTAGAAAATGGAGGATTGAGGGGGAAAGGAGGAGTTCTGCTTTAGAGAAGGTGTTCAGGGAAATGGCCTCTGAGGGGCGACCCAACTTGAGTGAGGAATGGAGTCATACGAGTACCTGGTTGAAGAGCATTATAGTTAGCGAACATAGCATGTGCAAAGGCCCTGGGACAGGGTCACCCTTGTTACAAGTTTTAAAGCTGAAATTGTGGATGAGCTAGAATCAGACATTAATAGGGCCCAGAAAGGACCCCAGAATCTATTCTACAAGATAGAGTTTAAAGACATGACTGGGGGGCCGGCCAAGTGGCTCGTTGGTTAAGAGTTGGCCTGGGAGCACGAGCTCTGAGCAGCAGGGCTGCCGGTTCAGATCCCACATGGGCCAGTGATGCTGCGCCCTTTACAGCTAAGATGGTGAACAACAGCTCTACCTGGAGCTGGGCTGCTGTGAGTCGCCGGCAACGGCATAGGCTGCAGTGGGGCTGCCGTAAGCTACCGTGAATGGCCAGCAGCAGGCGGAAGCTGCCGTGAGCGGCCGTCCAATGGCCAGCGACAGCTCTGCCTCAGCCAGGAAGAGCACAGTGATCACAATACCAGCATGAGCCAGTGAAGCAACGTCCTCCACAACTAGATTGAAAAACAAAACGGACAGCAACTTGTCTGTTCCCCTTCCCCGAATTCCCAACGCTGTTCCCTCTCCTAATTCCCCAATAAAATCTTTAAACAAAAAAAGACGTGACTTGGGGCCCAGTGGCTCCGGCAGCTTAGTGGGAAATCCCATATCTGAAAAGAGAAAGTGCAAAACCATAATCCATGGCACAGTGTCAGGTCAAAGCTTGTAAGGGTCAGCCATCTAATGTAGTTTTGTGAGCCAATCTCATATGGGCAGGAAGGGAAAAGGACTCGAGCAAATTAGCAAACAAGCAAGTAGAGGTAGAGCAGGGAGGGGAAGACAAAGGAGTGTATTGTCAGAAAGGATAGCACGCTCCTTACAAATGACAGTGTCTGTCCCTATATATGCTCACTCAGGGTTTATGAAGAACCTGCTGTGTGTGGCCCTCTACAGGTAAAGGGAGAATTACAAAAACATATAATGCCATCCATCACCTCTTGTGTTCCCCAGGAGCTCGTCCGTCAGCGAGGAGTCTTAGAACGCACAGAGAAGATGGTGGACAAAATGGATCAAGATTTAAAGACCAGCCAGAAGCACATTAATAGCATTAAGAGTGTGTTTGGGGGGTTCGTCAATTACTTCAAATCTAAACCAGCAGAGACCCCACTTGAACAGAATGGCACCCTCGGCCCCCAGCCCAACAGCAGGTGAGTGGGTCTTCAGCTGTCTGGATGTGACATAGTAGAAAGTGGGGTTTAGTGCAACTGGCCAAGACTCTCAGGCCACTTATAGTGGCTTAAAGGGATCTAAGGACCCTGTAACTTTCTCACTGGGAAGGATTCGTCTCCAAACAATTAGAAACAAATGTTTCTCCAGCACTCCTGATTACCTTCATTTTTTTTGACACCCAGTCTGCAAATTCTGCATCTGTTGGGTCTTCAGTAAATTACTCCAGTAACTGTGACCCCAGTAATTTAAAAGAGAATGTTCATCTCAGAAAGCTTAATCAGTACAAATGTGACTCACTTCACAAAATTTTTGCTTTAAAAAGTCCTTATAGTGAACTTTTCTATATCTAATCCAATTTGCCAGTTGGTTTTCATTTTAATATTACAGATTATTTTCCTCAAAAGTTTTGGCCAGAGTTATTATAAAATCATACATGTGATTCTGGCGGGCATTTAAATGTCATGTGTTCAAAAATAAAGATTGAGTTTCTGCTAAAATAGATTACTATGATTCATATCTCAGATCGTTGTCTGTTTTTTATTGTAAAAACAATGTAGCCATGTTACAGAAAGTCTGCACCTTACCTACCATAACACAAAAGCTTAAAATTTAGTTTTTCCCCTTATTCAATGTATTCATAATTGTCACTAGAATATTCATTTGGTTTTATAGCCTGCTGCTTCCATTTAACACAGAAAAATGTTTGATGTAATGAATGCTAATGCTATTACACAGGTTTTATAACCCCCTCTCTCTCTCTCTTTCTCTCTCTCTCTCTCTCTCTCTCTCTCTCTCTCAATCTCTCTCAATTCTGAAATACAGAGCTAATCTTTAGAGCTAATCTTTAGAGCTATTTATTAAAATATATAACCAATGTATAGTAAAATGCATACTTTTTTATGAAATTTGGGGAATTAGGGGATGGGAACAGCGCTGGGGAAATCGGGGGAAGGGAAATAGACAAGTTGCTGTCCTTTTGTTCTTCAGTCTAGTTGTGGAGGATGTTGCTTCACTGGCCCATGTTGGTATTATCATTGTGCTCTTCTCGGGCAAGGCAGATCAGTCGCCGGCTTCTGGACGGCCACTCACTACAGCTACTGGCCGCTCACGCTGGCTGCTGGCTATTCACGGTAGCCCATGGCAACCCACTGCCACAGGGGCTGCAGCCTACGCATCTCCAGTGACTCACAGCAGCCCAGCTCCAGGTTGAGCTGTTGTTCAGCATTTTAGCTGTAGAGGGCAGTGTCACTGGCCCTCATATGTGGGATCCGAACCGGGGTCCTCTGGCGTCCCAAGCCACCTCTTAACCAACTCACAACTCGGCCGGCCCTAAAATGCACACATTTTAAGTGGAGAGCCAATGACTGTTTACATGTATATACACCGGCGTGGCAACCACATGGATCAGAAAGTAGGGTGTGGTGGGGAAGAAATTAGGAAACTGTTTCCAGCACACAGTGGGGCTGGGGAGAAATGAATGTAGGTAAAGGAGCCGGTGGTGGCAGCAGAAAGGACAGACAGGTGAAGTCGTTGGCACTTATGGAGAAGAAACTGCAGAAAAGGGAGCAGGAGGTTAGTAGGGGGACCCAGGAACTCTTTCCTGTGAATACACTACTACCCAAGGTTATAAGGGTTTGTTGTTTGTTTTTTAGCTCAGCCATAATCACCATTTACCCCGATTGTCCAACTTGACCCTGATTTCAAATATCTTGTCACTCTTTTCCCCTAACTGGAGTGGTTTGGTTTTTTTCAATGTGCACATCAGAAAGAAGATTTGTGTCCTCGTTTTTGGCTATGTAATTACCATAGGAAGTTCGGATGTCCCTTTGCTATGAACTCAGAGGCAGAGCGAGCCTTTGGAGAAGTGGGAAGCTAGCGAGTTTGTGATTGACACTTCCCTGTGTCCTCCATGCCTCTTCCCAGAAACTTCTTCTTGGGACTCATGAGACCTCCACCATCCTTATCATGCTATAAAAACCATTAAGGTCCTGGGCTTCCAGGGCAAGTTTTCTTTTTTGGAGCATCTTGAAAACTCAAGGCTTTCCCAGCAAAGGTGTCCCAGTAGTGAGGCAGCTGGAGTTATTTTGGTGACGTGGGTTTCTTGGTGCCCCATGTGTCATGTATCCCATCAGGCCCATGTGGGAATCAAACCGGTGACCCTGTTGCTCAGAGCTCGCGCTCCTAACCAACTGAGCCCACTCAGCCGGCCCACAAAACTTTTAAATGTAGCAACTCAATCTCATTCAACTGTTTCCCAACTGTGTATGGAAGCAGATCTGTGCAGCTTTGTGGGAGAGGCTGCTCCAGTAGTGTTGCTCCAGTAGCGTTGCGTGGATTCCTTCCTTCATGACTTCTAAGCGCCCACACTCTGAAGGCCCATCCCTATGGCTAGGAGACGAAGCTGTAGGAGCTAGGTCATTCCGTTTGTTTGTAGGTATGGGGAAGATGGGCAATCAACAGTGGTGCAGTGGATGCTCAGAAGAGGGGGATCTTGGCCCTAGGAAGTGAGGAGCTGACCTTTTTTTGCATGGAGTCAGGGTTGCATGGGACTCTGACAGTTGAAGGAGGGGAAAGGGCACAGACACATGGCAGTCAGGGCACCAGAGAAGCCATAGCAATGGAGGGCATTGACTGTTTCCAGAACGGGAGCCCTTGATATTAAGGCCTGGCCTGTGAGCTCCTAATCCCCAAATTTGGAAAAATCACTACAATGTATAATTGCTTCTACAAAATGCAATAAATAGTGAGTAAAACTTTTGTGATCCTATTAAAACCCTTACTCCATAAATACAGGAATATTTGTCTTTTAAAAGCTTTTAAAATAAGGGGTGGCCAGTTAGCTCAGTTGGTTAGAGCCAGTGCTCATAACACCAAGGTTGCCAGTACGATCCCTACACCCTCCACAACTAGATTGAAACAACTACTTGACTTGGAGCTGATGGGTCTTGGAAAAACACACTGTTCCCCAATTAAAAAAAAAAAAACAAAAAACTTGTAAAATAAGTTTTTTCTAATCAAACTTCAGTCGAGTCATGTGTTTCCTGTGTACATCCTTATCACACAAACCCTTGGGCCTTCTCTAAAGTTGTATTTCTCTCTTAGTAAGCCATTTTTGTTCTTGCTGACAAAGTTTCATAAGCTTCTTGCACTCATTTCCATTTAAAGCTTAGGGGGGATTCATTCAGGTCATAGATTTAGCCACTAAACCTGAAACTCTTATTCAAAACTTGGTTTCTGACCAAGAGCCACTACTCTCTTAGACTTCTTCCCTTTCTTGTCACTTCTGTCACTGTCCCTAGAATTGGCTTTCTTTGGGGGAGCCATTTTTCACAAAGAAACCTGGTTTTTATCATGTATTATTACTGTGTGCATAGAGTGCACACAAAAAAGTCAGGTTTGAGGTGTTCAGGCTAGGTGGTGGCCAGACAGGCTCAGAAACCATGTGTCTCCTGCCTACGCCCAGGCCAGCAACACATGAGGCTCTTAGACACGCTTGAAGAAACAAACTGTGTGCTCTAGACCTTCAGTCGCTGCTTCTGAGTAACAGATTTCAGAAAGCTCTGCTCTGTTCTACACATTGCTGGAGCCCTGGGGGCCTGCAAAACCATTATTAGCCTGACAGAGTCCAGGCTTTCTCCTAATGGGCAGGGAGCCATTAAAGAGTTTGAACTGGAGAAGGACATGTCAAGGTTATGTTAGAAAGATGCCCGGCATCCTGGCGTTAAGGATTGGAAAGGTGAGGTACTAACCTCTGTAAGGGTAAAGAGAGGCAGGACAGGAGGGGCTGGGTTTCTGGGGGACATTGGGGATCAAGAGGACTTCTGTTTGTATGGATTACTGAGAATGGAGGGAGGGCAAACAGAGAATGAACAGAGGGAGGGCAAAAATGGAGAGTAACTGAGGACCCCAGCTTGGCTGATGACGTGGCCAGGCTGCCTATGTAGTAGGCCCATCTTCAGGGGCATGTCCCATACCTGTGGGGGTTCAGTGGGGTGTCGGGTGCAGTCTGAGTATCTCTGAGTTGCTGAGAGAAGTCCTTATCTGCAGTTGGAGCTGGCAAGTGAGGCTTTGCAGGCCAGGAAGCAAAATCAAAGAGATTTTGTAGAGACTTAAATAATAAGAGACAAAAAAACATTTTTAGTGACAAAAAACAAAAGAGGAAAATAATAATAATTGAGTACACTTTTTTTGTAACACAGGTCTACTACCAAGAAGAATGAAATTCTTAACTGAGGTTCAAAGTTAGTGTCCCCTATCATATAATCAACTGATTGCCAGTGAACATCACTAAAGGCCATTCTCTGCTCATGGCCATATAAAAACAGGTCATTGGGGTGGATTTGGCCTGTGGGTCAAAGTTTGCTGACCCCCAGACTAAAGTACCTATTTGTTTGTTTCATGTGCTTCTCTTCTACCTGGTGCTAGGATCCCTGTTTTCCTGCGGGAGGGCCATGGCCCTAAGCAGATGCTGTGCTTCTGATGCAGGTGTTGCGGATCATTGTGTGCAAGGCCAGCGGTGTCCCAGGAGGTGCTGATGGAACCCCTGTGGTCAAAGGAGGCATTTGATTTTCTCACACAGGCGTTACTTGAGAAGACTGGCTGCATTGCCATAGGTGTTTTTCTTTTCTAAAAGTTACCCTTTTTTCTTAACTTTTATCCAAAGGTTGAAAGAAGCTATAAGTACAAGTAAAGAACAAGAGGCACAGTACCAAGCCAGCCACCCAAACCTCAGGAAGCTGAATGACTCAGGTTAGTGGATACCTGCACTCCTGTTCACATTTGCTTTCTGTGGGGAGACCTCTGGATTTGGTGTTGGCCTTGAGTGGGTGGGAGACACCGGAGAGCTCCAGCTGCTGTCATCCCACATCTGCATGAAGGGGGTTAGGGACCCAGCACCGCTCAGGGAACTGGAGGTGTGTGTTACCGCAGAGTGGAATAGCAAAGTGGGACCCTGCGTCCCATTGAAAATGAGCCTATTCCATGTAGCTCTGAGTTCTCCCAGCAGTGAAAAGCCAACTGCAGGAAAACCCTTATGGTAAGTAGAAAAATGACCCCCAAAGATGTCCAAGTCCTAATCCACAGACCTTGTGAATATGTTAGTTTCTATGCAAAAAGGGAATTATGGCTGCAGAGGGAATTGCAGTTGCTAATCAGCTGATCTTGAGATGGGGGGATTATCCTGAGTTATCTATGTGGACCCAGTATAATCACAAAGGTCCTTTTTAAGCGGAAAGGGAAGCAGAAAAGGAAGTATCAGAGTGAGAGACTGAAGATGCTATGCTGTTGGCTTTAAAGATTGAGGAAGGTGCCATCTGCTAAGGAATACAGGTGACCTCTAGAAGCTGGAAAAGGCTAGGATTGGATTCTCCCCAAGAGCCTCCAGAAGGAACACAACCCTGTTGACACCTTGATCTTAGCCCAGTGAGACCCATGTTGGACTTCAGACCTCCAGAACTGAAGGATGTTTGTTACAGCAGCAGTAGGAGACTAATACATCCCCCAAACCTGAGTAGGCGGAGAATCAGCAACGTGGACAAGGTGTGCAAATTATCCCATTAATATTAAATGACAGGCCCAGAAACATCTCTTACCTGGAAAGGAATTTAGGCCGCCTGGGAGCTAATTCTGTAGACCCCTAGAAAGCCAGGAACATTGGAAGGACTCCAGAAATCAAATACTTTCTGTGCTGCCTTCGAGGAAAGCATGTACCCCAAAAGCGCTGGAACCCATCACTATCATGGTTGACACAGCTAGGCGGGGCTTGATGGAGGAAGAGCTGGGGGTCAAGAAAGACTAAGATCAACACAGTTCAGTTCTGGAAAAGTGAAAACCAAAGGAGGAACTGAGAGAAAACTAAAATACGTAAACCTGGAAAAAAAACAAAAACCGAGCTCGTCACACCCTGAAGTGAAATAGGAGCCCTACACTCAAAAGAGACAATTTTAAGGAATTAAAGGGAGCTTTCGTTTGTGTGGTGTATATTAAAAGGCTAAAAAAAAAAAAATGACACTAGACGTGTAGAATAGCTTCAGTAGGTTGTGCTAGAGGAAATGCACTAAGTCTGAAAGGGATGTTTCCCCAAAAGGTGTAAACTGAGATGACAGGCTTTTCTGTGCATTTAGAAACTGAAGTTCAAGGGAGATTTATTTCTTGGAGCAAATGTCCATTATTTAACATTTCTTGTTTCCTTGTTTTTTTGAAGTGAAAGGACAGCATAGAAATAAATTTCAAAAGAAAAAAAAATCACCAATCATCTCATTTCTATAATGTAACAATTTTCATTTTTAGACCTTGTCTTTTAAACCTTGTCCATGAACCTTTGTGGTTGTGTATTGTTGCAGTTCTACTGCTATATTATTACTTGAATGAATCCCTTTCTCTTTCCTGAGCTTGTGTGCCAGGGTTGGACCAGGTGACCCGTAGGTTCAGGGTTTTTGATCTCCAAAGGGCTGCCCCCCAGGAAACGTCTCTCCCTCCTGCACCAGCCTGTCCAGTACTCCTGCCCCCACATGTTATCCATTCTAACACTCATCTCTTCGAATGGCCTCAGAACTCACCACCTTATTCCTTCCACCCATTTTCCAGATTAAAATTAATTTGGTGAAGCAACATTTCGAGAGACATGAGTTAACTGTTCTTGTGTTTCTACACTCAGACTGTATCTCTGGAGGGGCCAGTTCTGCTGTGAGTACCGAGACTTACCCGAAGAACCCACACCTTCGAGCCTATCACCAGAAGATTGACAACAATCTAGGTAAGACTTGAAGCTGCACCATGCTCTGCAGATACCTTACTGGAGACACTTGTCTTACAGGCAGCTCATGCCCAGCCAACCAGTAACACCAGTAGGCACCCAGGTTCTCAAGACCAAAACTTTGGTGTCCGCCTCTCCCTCACCACATGTCAGATCCAACACGAGTTGTGTTCATCTCACCCCCTCACTCTCTGGGGTCCACTTCTCTCCATCCCCACCTTTCATCTAGATCATGACATCAGCAGGGACCAGGAGTCCCTGAGGGGCCGTACAGTGCAGCCTGGACCCTGCTTGCTTCATCCTTACCACCTGGCATATGGAGCCCTTGTTTCCTCCTCTGTGAACCAGGCTCAGGAACAAAATCTTCCTCTGAGGACTGTGGGAGGGGTACATGAGCAACACCATTAAGCATGTAGGAAACTGCCTGGCCTGGTAAGAGCTAGCGCTTCTGTGGCCATTACAGCACATTGGCCACACAGCCAGTGCCTTTACAGTCCAGGTCCCTTGTCCTGGTCTCTGGCCCCTGCCTGCCTCTCTACCCCTCCTGCCCTCATCATTTTGTAGCTCCCAGTTCTTTCCTGCCTCACTGCCCCATCTGCCTGGGGTGTCCTTCGTCGTGGTCTTTGCAGGCCGGGTCCTTCTTATGCTGTAAGCCTTGCTTTAATGTGGCTGCCTCTTGTCTCCGAGCACCCTATTGTTTCCACTGCAGCCGTTTATCTAATGTCTTCCTGACCGGACTGTAAATTCCTGGGAACACAGGAATATCTCATCTTGTCACCACTTTACACCCATGGCCTAGCAGGCAAGCACTCAGTGATCATTCTTCGAATGAAGGGACCGAAGTCAGCTATTTGAAGTTCAAGTGGAGGAGTATCGTGTGTGCGGACAGTAGGAGTTGACCTGTGAGCAGCTTCCATGAGTTCATTCTAGGTGATGTGTGAGACAGTACTGCCTCCTCTGACCTTTGCTCTGTGAACAGGAACCTGCCCCATAGCTACCTGGGTTGCTCGGCAGTCTTCCACCCCCATTAGGAGACAGCAAAATGGGTGAGACAAAAGCTAAAACATCCCCTGCTCTAAAGGTTCGGGAGACAAACCTGAACCCCGTGAAGATGCATATTGGGTGTCAGTGCACAGGCTTCTTCCTGCGCTCCTCCTCCCAGGAGAGGACACAATGTGGGCCCCTTCCCAGGTTCACCCAGAGCAGCACCCATTCCAGCAGCCCTGAGTGAGTGGCACAGACGGCACGTTAGGCAAATCTGTACCGTTTTTATTTTTAGTAACATTTACCTTCATTTCTGAGTATATAGATGCATTGTGGAAAATTCTGAAATTAGGTAAGTGCCACGAGGAAATAAATACCCAGAGTCCTCCTGTCCAGCAATGGCCACTGATTTGGTGCCATTCCTTCTATATTCATGTATATATGTCTACAGTATCAAATTACTGGGAATCATTCAGTATACACATTTCTGTATCCCCTGTTTAGTGGGGGTTTTTTGTTTGTTTATTTGTTTTAGTTTCAGGTGTACAAAGTAAAGACATTTACATCCCTCATAGTGATAACCCCCAGCCCCCAGGCTACTTCTCCTCTGGCATCTTATATAGCTGTTATAATGCCATTGACTATCTTTATGCTATACTCCACCTTCCGTTACTACATATATGAGTGAGAGAGAGAGAGAGAGAGAGAGTGTGTGTGTGTGTGTGTGTGTGTGTGTGTGTGTGTGTGTGTTTAATTATAGTTGACATACAGTGTTATTGTACTTCAGCTTCAAGTATACAGCGCATTGGTCGGACATCTACACAGTCTATGACGCGATCTCCCTGATAAGCCCAGTGCCCATCTGACATCTTACATAATTTTTACAACATTGTTGATTATATTCCCCATACTGTATTTCATATCCCCATGACTATATTGTGTCTACTAATCTGCACTTTCTAATCCCCTCACCTTGTCTCCCATCTCCTCCTCGCTCCCATCTAGCTAGCAACCAGCAGTTTCTTTTTTTTTCTATATCTCTGAGAGTCTATTTCTGTTTTGTTTGCTCATTTATTCTGTTCTTTATATTCCACATATAAGTGAGGTTGTATGATATTTGTCTTTCTCAGTCTGACTTATTTCACTTAGCATAATATTCTCAAGGTCCATCCATGTTGTTACAAATGGTAAGATTTCATTCTTTTTTATGGCTGTATCCCCTGCTTTTTCACTTAGATCTTGAACACTTCCCTAAACCTTTTTTCCTAAAATTTCTTTGAAAAGCACTTTAGGAGTTCCATCCTCTGCTGTTCGATTATTTGCTACTGAAAATAATCCTCTGTCCATTCCTGTGAGGAAATCTTTGGCCATATTTTATAGCTAGATTACTAGAAACGGATTTATAATCGGGGAATAGAATCTTCCTTTTAAACATTAAATCTTCACAGAAATAAGGCATTGGTTTTGGAAAATAGACATAAGCTAGAACAAATAAATGAAAGAACTGTAATTCTGCTGCCTACAGCTCACCACCTCTACCCTTGGTGTGAATGGCAGCACTAGGCCTGCATGGCTACAAGGCAGAGGGCCCATCAGCAAGCTCCACACCCTAGCAGGTTCCATACCAGACTCTACCTGCTCTTTGTCCCCGGAGCCCAGGGAAGTCCCAGATAGCCATGCATTTCTTCTGTCCTCTGGATTCTGCCCTGGAGCCAAAGTCTTCAGGCAGAAGAAGGTGCATCTGCCTATCTGACCGCTGCAGAGAAACACAAAGGGGATTGGAAGCCCTCTGTCCTCCCCACCACAGGTTTCTCGAGGGGCAGGAGGGAGACCTACGGAGGGCGCAGAATTCAGTATGTCCAGCCCACCCCCTAGAGGCTGAGGGTGAACAGTTGGCATGAGGACTTGGAGCCTGGCATAGAGGAGGGCTGGGGTGGAACCGGGAGACGCCAGAGCTCGGCCACCAGGCCCTGCTGACACCGGCTGCCCTGGCAGGTTAGCTCTTCCCTTTTTACCACGCCTTCCCTCTGTATCAGGGACTAGAGCAGGCGCCCCTTGACAGCTCTGCCTTACCTGGTGGCTTTACTTTATCACACTTTTTATCTCAGTGTAGCTATTTTTTGCTGTCCTAGCTGCTGACAAGCTTCTTGAGGCCAAGGGTGACCTCACAGGTTTTACTCTCCATGGTCATGGGTTTCAAGAAACTCAAGAAGCATAGGGCTAACGATCGTTTGGTTTTAATTGATCCCGTTTAGATTTGTGGTATCAATGTCAGTATTTCTGTATTCTGTCCTTTTTTCACTTAGCGTTTTATCTTTAATTTAGCAGTAAGGAGGCTTACGAAGCACCACCTCTTCTCTCATCCCTCTGCCTCTTTCCTGTCCTGCTGTTCTTAGCAAAGGGGCAGAAAGCAGCTCTGGGCATGCTCCCCACTCCCACTCCCCGCTCTCACACACACACACACACACACACACACACACACACACTCACACACACACACTGCTCCATCAGGGGGTCCCAAAGTCCCTCCGCATGTCTCATCCCCCCACTCACCCTCAGTTCTCAGTATGTCATCTGTGCCAAGTAAGCTTTTCACATACTACTAAGCCTGGCCACGGAGTATTGGCAGGGAATAGAATCTTATAGACATTATTCCTCTTAAAAACAAATGTGAGATTATTTTTTTTTTAATTGAGGAATTGAGGGAGAGGAACAGCGTTGGGGAATCAGAGAAGGGGAACAGACAAGTTGCTGTCCTTTTGTTCTTCAGTCTAGTTGTGGAGGACTTCACTTCACTGGCCCATGTTGGTATTATCATTGCACTCTTCCCGGGTGAGGTAGATCAGTCACCGGTCATTGGACGGCCACTCACGGTGGCTCTTGGCAGCTCATTCCAGCTGCTGGCCGCTCACGGTAGCTTATAGGAGCCCACTGCATCCTATGCCATCGCCAGTGACTCATGGCAGTTCAGCTCCAGGTCAAGCTGTTATTCACCATCTTAGCTTAGAGGGCTCAGCATCACTGGCCCTAATGTGGGATCCAAACCAGGGCCCTGCTGCTCAAAGCTGGCGTCCCAAACCAACTCTTTTTTTTTTTTAAAGATTTTATTGGGGAATTAGGGGAGGGGAACAGACAAATTGCTGTCCTTTTGTTCTTCAGTCTAGTTGTGGAGGATGTCGCTTTACTGGCCTATGTTGGTATTATCATTGCACTCTTCCCAGGTGAGGCAGTTGCTTGCCAGCCATTGGACGGCGGCTCATGGCAGCTCACAAAAGCTCACGCCTGCTGCCAGCAAGTCCCACTGCAGCCTATGCCGTCACCGGCGACTCCCAGCAGCCCAGCTCCAGGTCGAGCTATTGTGCACCATCTTAGCTGTAGAGGGCGCAATGTCACTGACCCTCATGTGGGATCCGAACTAGGGCCCTGCTGCTCAGAGCTGGCATCCCAAGCCAACTCCTAACCAACGCGCCACTTGGCCAGCCCCCAAACCAACTCTTAACCAACACGCCACTCGACCGGCCTGTGAGATTGATTTTTATAGTTTTTGAAACAGAAGGAAAATATTTATTACCAATAGTGGAAAAGCCTAATGAGGGAACTAGATAATGAGCTCAGAAGGAAACTGGCACCAGGGTGGCTCGTGACTGGGCACTTCCAGAGGCTCACCTCAGCTGTGTTCGGGGTCCTGGGCAGGATGGAACTCGCCTAAGGAGCAGGGTCAAAATTTGCACTCAGGAAAAAAAACTGGTTTTGCAGCCAGGCCCAGTGGAATTGACCTTGATTTCCCCCAATATTATTCTTCTCTTGGGTGGAAATGGAACTCTCCTTGTGTTTGAACTTGAATTTCAACAATAATGATGTAACCTAGCTAAACCTTTCCCAGAAGCAGTGTACTCCACAGTTACACTGCTCAGCCAGCTGGCATCTCTGAAGGAACCCAGCACTTTCAGTGCTTCACTCCTTTTGACATGGGGACCCTGGGCTGCAGGGATCTGGACACCCAGTTTGTGCAGAGGCCACTGCCTTCTTCCTGACCACAAAGTAAACAAAGGAAATTGGTGCCAGGCCAATTTTGGGACTTGCAAGCTAACTGTCATACCCCAGAACTTTCATAGCATCAATGTGTTGTTCATGGATCTGAGAATTAGTAACAATGAGTAAAGAAGAAATGTGGGGAAGTGTGAATTTTCATAACATAGGTAAAGGGACCTCACAGCATTTGGATCCAGTGGGAATATCTGTAGTTCATATGTTTTCTGGCAGAGCACCCCAGATGGCAGGGCAGGGACAAATCCCCCCTTTCTCCTGCCACTTGCAGAGTGGACCAAGGGGGTACAGCCTTCTCCAAGGGGGAGTCTGGGGCTGAAGCAGCCCGGATACAGGGGCTCCCATTAGACAGGTCTTCCCAGGTGTGTCTCTCAGACATTTTTCCAAACATGGGTCTTCATATTTGCCACCCCAGATCTGTGTTTGATCTAGTTTTAGGGAGCTGGAGATGGAAGGAAGGAAAGCAGGCACTGCCCACTAATGTGGGGGTTTTTGCTTCTGAAGTGCAGACCAGTGGGCCTGGCTGTTAGTAACCAGCATACCTCTCCCAGATACTTACCATGGGGTCTAGGAAGAGAACATGTTTCCAGGCCCTTCTGTGCCCTTTACCATGGGTACTAACTGATCTTTCAATTTGCAGCAACCTGCTAGAGAGTTCAAAAGCTGTGGAAAAATTATGTACATCTATATGCATTTTTAAATACACTGGCAGAACAAACACCATTATATTAACAGTGGTTAATCTTGGGTGGGCAGTGTGGAGAGAAGTGGCTTTTACATTAAGCACATATTACTTTTTATTGAGTAAACTGATTTTCTTTTCACTTGAGTAACTGGAGGGAACATGAAGCAGTTCCCTATCACTGTTTGCATGTTCTTTTCCTCTCCCACAGATGAGCTGTCCACGGGACTGGGCCGGCTGAAGGACATAGCCCTGGGGATGCAGACGGAAATTGAAGAGCAAGATGACATTATTGGCCGCCTTACAACCAAAGTAGACAAGTTAGATGTCAATATAAAAAGCACAGAAAAAAAAGTTCGACAACTTTAAAAACAGACAAGGATTTCTACTCCATTGTGATGAAAAGATACGAAAGATTTTCTTTTAAACGCCCAAGAAATTTCATTTATTATTTTAGTATGTAGTTTAACATGTCTGCAAATGTTATGATAGAGTGGGTATTAAGAGATTTTGTTGTTACAAGAAAGTGTGCATCCCACTTTTTCTGAGAACCAACTCCTCTCTCCGTTCTTTGAACTGAATGCTTAGAATTTTAGTCTGAGCACAGTAGCCTGGCCCTGAATATCCTAGGCCTTTGATTATTACCATGCTGGAATGAAAAGAAAAAGTTGCATTTCTCACTTTAACGAGCATATGGAAAGATGTGGGCAGAATTTCAATCCCTGTTCACTGTATATCTCATTCCCAGGCCTTACAGTGAGTCAGAGCACTAAGGGACCCTGTGAGCCAGTTGTTTGTGGGGGAGGGTCCTTCCTTTTCACAGTTTAGTCATTATACCTCATCACCACACACATACATGCGTACACCCACACTAAGTACATCGTGATTCTCTCAACCTTCTAGAAAAGGATCAATGTGAGATTCAGAAAAAGAGGGTGTCGGCATTCTTGGCTGTTTTGTTGAGAGATGTCACCTCTTCTCCTGGCCTCTATCCTTGGCGTGCATTTTAGTAGAAGGGGTTCAGGCCAGCCCTACTCACTGTGATGACTGGACGTAGCAGGGAATTGGGTAAGCTCTTCTTCCCCATGCGCCCTTGTCTCTGACTCTGTCCATGATTTGTAGCAGATTCTCCACTGCTCAAGGCTGTCTGGCTGGCCAGTTGGGAGCCATATAGAGATAAGAATGGAGCATCACACACATGGCCAAGCAGTGGTTTCCTGCACTGAGCTGAGCCCTCCAGCCTTCTGGGCCTCTCCCTGACCAGGTATGGCAGTGTTCACTCACTGTCCGTGTCGCCTGATCCATCCAGAGTTCCCACACACTCTCCTTGCACGTCTTACAAGGTGACTTGACTCAGCACTTGGTTTTCTGCCATCCAGTTTCAGGACTGGAACTCCACAAATGGTGCTGACTTTGTATAGAAGGATTTGGCTTAAAAAGAAAGACCAAATATTTTAACTGGCCCACTTCTTTAATTTTACAAGAAGAATCACTTAAAAGCATTAATTACAATTGATTTTCATAATTAAATGGATTTCTTTGTGTTGGTGCCTCCAACAAAATAATTGAAGCCACAAGGCCCTTGTCTTTTCAAAAAGCAAATTAATGAAAATATTTTGAAGATGGTGAAAGGGACTGATTTTAATAAGACATGTTAGAAATTTTAAAATAACAGTGTCTTTCACCTTGAAACATGACACTGACTGTGTGACCTTCACTTCCATTCTGTAGCCTATAAACAAAGTCCCTTAAAGCACAGGAAACTTCTTTAGAGTGCTGCAGCAAAGCATCAGTATTTATGTAACAGTTCGTTAGTAAAAGTTCCATCCCATCATATATGATCTTCTGACAGCCTCCTTCGGCAGACACTTTCTGTCAAGTTGCAACCACCTCAGGGAGTCTGATGCACGTTATTATGACTATCCCAGGATGTGATTAAAGGTGATCAAATTAGACATTTGTTTATCAGATGAGCTCATCATGATTATTCTCTTGATTAAGCATATGCCCAGGAGTTCACAGGGCTTTCAGCAAAAAGGCTGCTCAAAAAAGCATGAAGCCAGAGGGCAGAGCAGCCGGTGTGTGCATTTCCACTCATTCTAATTGTATCTTTTTCTTTCCTCTCTAACACCTTCCTCCATATATATCATAATACTCTGCCTATCATCATCAGGCATAGACTCATGGGGATTAGTCATTATATCTCAGACCTAAACTTTTTTTTTTTTTCATTTCAAATAAATACTAGAAAGGCTACCCACCACCAAACATTCTCTTCAGCAGCCTTCCATTAACGTAATGGGATTAGTGATTTAACTGACTTGAAGCAAAGTAGCACCTTATTTTTTATGTACTTGCACTGTCTTGTTTGATTGACGAAGCCAATCACCTCTCGCCCCCCCCCTTTTTTTTTACCTCTACCGTATGGAAGGAGAGTTACCCTCACTTTTTTAGAACTTTGTCTTCCTCTGACACATTAGAGGGCCTCATCTCTTCTGTTTTTTCAACCCTGTTGCTTAGAGCTCACACTCTTTTTTTTTAAAGATTTTTATTGGGGAATTGGGGGTATGGGAACAGCACTGGGGAATTGGGGAAGGGGAACAGACAAGTTGCTGTCCTTTTGTTCTTCAGTCTAGTTGTGGAGGACGTTGCTTCACTGGCCCAGTTGACACCATCATTGCGCTCTTCCCGGGTGAGGCAGATCAGTTGCCGGCTTCTGGACAGCCACTCACTGCGGCTGCTGGCTGCTTACACTGGCTGCTGGCTATACACAGTAGCCCTTGGCAACCCACTGCAGCAGGGCTGCAGCCTGTGCCATCGCCAGCGACACGGCAGCCCTGCTCCAGGTTGAGCTGTGGTTCAGCATCTTAGCTGTGGAGGGCAGTGTCACTGGCCCTCATATGTGGGATCTCAACCGGGGCCCTCTGGCATCCCAAGCCAGCTCTTAACCAATGTGCCACTTGGCCGGCCCTCATCTCTTCTATTTTGTTCTTGTTCAGACACTAATTCTAAGGCCTCTGCTCCAGGCTAGCCAGCGGCTTCTTTCTGCTGGGTCTTTAATCCTGCTCTTATGCCCACCAAGGACCATTTACTGGTTCTACTTTATAAAGCAAAGTTGCTTGCATTTTCAGAGAACAAAGGAAGACTTGAGGAGCCCCCAGAATCTTCACACATGATGGTGATGATCAAAAAAACAAAACATTCTACCCTCTAGACTAGACACCTCTCCTGGAGACACTCAGAGGTGCCTAGGCTGGGCTTGGCTGTGGGATGGGCTTTGGTAGGACAGACAAGACCAGCGAGCTTGTCCTTCTTTGCCCTTAGGGCCCATAAGACAGATTTTTATTTCCACAGTCGAGGTGGAAACAATCTGTGCCTTCAAAAAAGTGGCTTTTCTAACATTAGGTTGGTTATATTTGAAGTGTGCTACTAACTTAAAAATAAGTGCATTCTCCTCCAGGGGAAACTGCCTGACATCTACTGATTTATAACATAGCAGTGGGGTTGCCTCGTGGATGTCTATTTTTGCATTCTATAGGAAAGGAGACCTGAAATTTAACTCAGGTGGCAAGAAAAAAAAATACATACTCGTAAGTGCATTTTAATTTCTCTAACTTTGTGAATGTGTGATTTTAAGTATACACTACCAATTTAATAAATATCTTATACTTTGCCTCTATGGGCCTTTTCTGCAGAATTTTTCAAGTTACCAATGTTGTTGATCATCTTCAGCTCTGATGGATGAAATGTCTTGTGTACAGAATGATGATCTAGTCATTGCAAGTGTTTGTGGGAGGATGGGCTTTTTGTTCAGAGCCTGTATCAGAACAGCTCTTAGGCCTTCAACTCAACAAACAACCATATTCCATAAAATAAAATGTGAAGTTTTTAATCAAATTCTGTCTCCTACATAGTAGTCATTTTCAAAGAAATGGTGGAGGGGAATCCGCCATGTTGAGCCTCCCTGCATTTGGCCCTCCCTGCCATATTTAGCCCTGTGAACAAGCTTCCTTCTGGAAACCCTCATCTCATTATAAGAGTACTCTTCCAATCTGTCTTCTGCCTCCCTGCCCTCTCTGCAAAACAGTCTAAATCAAGGCTCAGCAAAATGTAAAGGGCCAGAGAGTAAATGTTTAGGCTCATAGGCCAAACGGTCTGTCTCGCCTACACCACCATAGCACAAAAGCACCCAAAGATGATATAACAATACAAAAGTGAGTGGCCATGTTCCAATAAAACATTATTTATGGACACTGAATTTGAATTTCATAAAATTTTTACATGTCACAAAACATTCTTTAGATTTTTTTATAAACCATTTAAAAATGTAAAACCACTTAGTTATAGGCGGTACAAAACATGGTGGGCTGCATTTGGCCCAGGGGCTCTAGTTGGTCACTGCCTTTTTAGACTGCTGAGAGGTATTCCTGTGGGTAGGAGGATGAAGGACGACTGGCCACTCCACAAGTGGGTTCCCCATCAGGGCTCCAGGCCCTCTCCTAGGCAACACTGCAGCCCACCGAGAGAGAGAGAGCAGGCCGGGCTGTCTCATCTTCATGTCTGACCACAGGCACAGGAACTGCTTCTAGATCTGAAAGCTCTGAGAAAGCACTTGTAGGCTGGGCTAGGCCATCTTGGAACTCTTATCCATCAGTAGACTAGCTACGCGTGTCCCAAAGGCCACTGGTTTTAGTGGGTATGATCTTCGGGCATCATTATAAATAAAGAATGATGGGGGTCTGAACACAGGCAGCAGACTTCTGGGAAGACAAGGGAGAGGACATTACATAGAAACATAAGTGAAAAAAATCCAAGTGGCTCACATTTGGGAGCTGCAAGTAGAGAAAAGGGTAGAGTTTGGATTATGGGTGGGAGATCTGAAAGTCTGGGGACCAGAAGGTCAGTGTTCGAGGAGTCAGAACATTGACTTCAATGACAGGGAGGCATTTATGGATTCTAAGCAAGAGAGTGACATGATCAGATGTCACAGCATTTGAAAGGACCATAAAATGCATCACAACATTATTAATAAGAGCAAAAAAACTAGAAACAACCTAACTGATTAAAGAAATAATAAAGGATGGCTTGCCCATCGCTGCAATGGAATGCTGCAGCTTTGAAAAGCTTTCAAAGAGAATATAGGATAATTCTTGCAAGATTAACATTATGGGGGGAAGAATGGACATAAACATTATACACTATGGTACCAGTTTTGAGGGGCAGCAAACCAATATGTGAATTTTGGAGTGAAAAAAATCATCCTTACGTTGGTGAGGAGGACAAGCTGGGAACAGGCTAAAGAAAAGACTTTTGTAATGGTCCAGGCAGGAACTGAAGAAGGGGACCATACTAGAGCTGTGACAAGGACAGGAAGGAGCAGGATGGGTAGACCCCAGAGAGCTTTAGGTGGGGCAGGCCTTAGTGATAGATTTGCCATTGAGGGCGACATTGAA